CAAAAATGCGGTAGTCGATGGATTAAAAATCAGCTGTTCGAGAAACGGCGAAAGAGAATTAATCGCAACGAGTGCCTGGAGCAACAGTAGAATCCCGGATAACGCTAAAGGCGGCTCGTGTTCGCGTAGAACGCTCCTTCATAGCCTGTTCAACACGCCGGAACATTTGTTAGCGTCCACGGTGATACTAAGCCCTGACGAAGCGGCTGGAGAAGCTGGTCGAATGGGATTTCTTGCTGGTCTTACGAGCCGCGTCGATTTTATCCGCTGGATCCTTCACTGGATACTGGATATACGGCCTGTGTGAATAACTAATGAACGAGAAGAAGAAAGAATTCGCCAGGAATGTTCGAATTAAAATTTGTTCTCCATGGCACAGTGATGAAACGAAAACGGAATAATAAAACAAGGTGATGGAATTATAGTGACACGAAATAATTGGTCATGATAATGATGATGATGGAAGACCGGATTATCAGGAATTATCATTTAGAAACATTCGAGAAAGATCGATCCAATTTACAACGCTCAATTAGTAATTAATTAATAATTAATTAATAATTAACCCTTTTGACTACCATGGGCGACCAAAGGCGTTTAAAAATCTTGCACTTGTGATACTGTAGGCGCTTAGAAATCTTGCGTTTGTGATACTGTGGTAATGGTTGCAATAGATTTGAATATATATCGATGCAAAAGTGAATGATCTCTGTAAGAAAGAATGAATAGATCGAGTATGCGTTTTATGAATGAAGTGTGGTACGGACTGTGCATATTTACGTAATGTATGAAAGAAGAGAGAACAAACGAGAGAGTAGTTGGATAGGTCAGTTGCAATGCAGAATTCCTTGAGGGTAAAACGTGCGAACGAGTATCGTGAGAAAGGAAAAACATAATTATTTATTAAATAATTAAATATATATAATTAAATATATAATAATTAAATAATTAAATATATTTCATCGACATTTTTACCGTTTTTACCAATTTTACCAGCATTGTTAAATAAATATTTAATATACTCATATTAACCCTTTGCGCGCGACGATTTTTTGGCTAAAGAAGGGTACGAGTTGACAAATTTTCTGCTATAAGGTTCATGATATTTTCTGTGCAGTAAATAAGGAATCGTATAATAATTAACACGTAGAATTATTTCACTTCCATACCTCGCACACTGTTGCATTAGTTTAAATTTAATAGATTAATTAATATCGAGCTTCGAAATTTTATCGAATGGCGACTGAAGGGCGCTTCTCGAGTGCAAAGATTAATATGATATCCACGACTAAGAGATACTGTAGGCTGTTCAATTTTAAGTATCCACAGTAACGATTTAATGCAGAATACGAAGAAATAAATAACGTCGTTTTAATATAGTGGATGCAATATAGTGTTTTGATTGTTATTTAAATATACAATAATTTCTCAAAAATGCACACCTGACGAAAAGTTTCACCGTTCTTGGTGTACAACGCAAATGGATTCCTACCATATGGTACGACCAATGCGTTTCAAAGTCTGCCATAGCCAAAGGGTTAAGAATTCTAACAGAAAAGCACCATACCGATAAGCCATTGATGAGTGAAGAAATATCGAAATACCACATGCAACTGAAAAGTCGAGGTCTTTTAAAAACGAATAATTGATTTGGCACTTCAGGTACGGAGAAATTCGTCGAGGTCCATCGAAACGACTTCCGGCGTCGTAACGTTCGAAATGGCACCTTCTGGGAGATAATAAGCCTGGAAGCTCAGGTAACGGAGTTCCGGAACAGCCAGTCATCGCTGCGATATTGCAGCAGGTAGACGATACTCGGGGAAAAGAAGAAATTTGAGCAAGAGACAAAGCGGATGATCGTAAAAGTAAAAAGTCAGGGTCAAGGGTGTAACGGCCCCCCGGATGCATCCATTCGCTTATTAACTACTTGTTAAACGCCTTTTTACGATCGCGTTAACACGATGAAATCGAGGGACAGAATAAATGGAAGTGTTCGTTGATTCAGATTAGTTTTCAAGAGTTGGCAACCGATGCTACCTAGGAACCGCCACTAGCTTGTTAAAGGCAGGGTAAAGACGGAGATTTAGTATTCTCGATTAGAGACTATGCCCGTGGCAGATTAAACATGTATGGCTCGGACAGATTCGAAGTTCTAATGGAACGTCTTCAGCTGGACTTCGAGTTTCGATGGGATAACGCGATCAAAACTATGATAGTCCCCGGCAGCAATGGGTTGGTCATATACTTGTCTTGACAAAGTCTTTGATACGGTAAAGTAACTAGGAATAAACGAAAAACGGAGATACAAACTTGATTGGAAATTCTAAAGTACGATAATTTGAAAAGATGTGAGCGACGATAAAAAATTGTATCGAATTATAAAAGTTAATAATAATAACCTAAATTACAAAATCTAAAAAATTTAAATAAGAAAGAATCCCACTGGTAAAGTAACTAGGGATAAACGATATATTTCGAATGCAAACATGATTGGAAATTTTAAAATACGATAATTTGAAAAGAAGATGCGAGCAATGATAAGAAACTGTATCGAATTATAAAAATTCTACTAGACTAATAATAATCTAAATTCTAAAATGTAAAAAATCTAAATAAAAAAGAATACTGCTGGCATAGAATAATAATAATAGTAATTTTGAATTTTTGGACGCGTCAGTTCCGATTAATTTTCCCCAGAGAAAGTGCTGAAAGTTGTAAAAATAAAATTCGAATTACGGAAACGTGGAACAAAAATTAAAAAATTTTATCTCCATTGGATCGAGATATTCGTTATTTCTACCCAATCGATTATCATTATCGAGCATAAGTATTTATGAGAAGCAGCATTACAGACGCATTAATTATTCTTTTACACGCAGCCTATGGCGTGTCCCATCGAGCCCATTGTTTCCCATCGAACCGGCATTACTTCCGGTTGTGAGTGTCCAAGGAAAAATAAACCAATGATCATCGGTCGTAATTATTCCCCATAGAATATAAATCGTGTCAAAACCGCGCAACTTCCTGGCACGCATGCGCGTACATGTTCCCGTGCACGTTCGACACGGTCAACGCGATAAAACGCCAAATGCCTTGAATTATTTTCATTTTCTCTCCTTTTTCTTCGAGTACCACTTACTCTTACTATTTTCTGCTCTTCCACGGTTCTTTATCTGCGCCACGAAACCCTCGCGATTCTCCTTTCATCTCACCGATAAACACGCCTATGTTTACACGCAAAAACAAATCGGAAATAAAAGTGCTCATAGATGGCGAAACGACGCGTTTCAACGGAATGCATATCTAATGTTCGTGTGCACCCCGATTGAGTAATCTGCGACAGTTGCGAGAGAGACAAGCTAACCTCAAATCACTCTTTTCCATATAATCTTGCATCCTTTCATATCCCGACGAAAAATCGCACTCAAGTGTATAATTTATATAATTTAATTTATAATTTAGATAATTCATTGAATAAATAATCTTCACTCTTAAAAAGACTGCATTGTGATTTTAAGATATTATACCGAATATTTTTTCACTCGTTTTATGCTCACTTCTTACGCGATTTGTATTTGCTTTTCTCCATTTTCTATTCTGATCTTGAAAAAAGTAAAATTTATAAATTTGGAAGGTAATAGAATGCATCGATATTGCAACATGTAAAAATTCGCGAATCTATGCAATCGATGTTCAGTCGGTAACATTAACGAACGAATTCCATGTGAACTTTTAACAAAGTGTACACTGTTATCGACAGAATCGAGACATTTGTATTAACTGTTTTAAACTTTTACCGTCGGCGATGAGGATCTTCTTATAGATACCTTTCTAACACTGCACGAAAATTATATATAGTTTCTGCTCTCTGGTTAAAACATTAACCTACAAATTCGACAGCACCAGCACACTACTTTAGATTATACCAACACACTACTTTGCGCTAACGGATCGCAGGATTCCTTATTATCTATTCGGCGAAAGTAAATATACTTTTGAAACTGAACGTATTTGATTGCACCGACCGATAAAGTCAGACAGGTTCTTTGTACTTGTACAAAGTGTAGATATATGTAGCCGGGTGATAAACCAAGGTAATAAACTATATAATAAACTACAAGGTGATAAACTGTATGGGTGTGAACCACACGAGTAACCTTATCCACCACCCTAGTCAAAATAAAGCATAAATTTTTAAGCTATGATATAGATTAATTGTTCCACTTAATTTATCCATTGCAAGTACGCTTTGAAAATATTCAAATGCACTACACGCAAGTACTTATCTTGTAGGTTATATTTTTTCGACTGTTAAACACGTACACAAATATGTAAATATACATACAGTCGGTTCATGCACGTTTGTGCATTCAGTTTCGAAACGTGAGAACTTCCCAGAATTTTTCTTTCGTTCGTTTTTTCTTCGCGTGTAGCCCCTTCGCGAAGAAACACAGCCCATAATTCATCGGCCATAAATATTTCGTTGTACATGTCTCTTTGCAAATCACTTCAACGAAATACCATCGGATAATTCATAAATGGTCGTGAATTATGAGCATGAAATTATGAGCCTCAATTTTCACCGCATTTATTTTTTATACGCAGTTACTTTTATTCACCTTTCTGGGAAATATCCAAACAAATTATTCCAAATTGAAATAAAATTTCAGTTGGAATTCATTTTAAAATCTTCCGTTATACGTGATACGTGGCTAGTCAATTGAGCGACAGAAAAGTTCGAAAATAAATTAAAAAATATTTTAAATGCAATTCTATTTGAAATAATCGAATTAAACCGAAAAAATTTTATTTCTCAGCCATTTTGTTAATCTATCTAATGTAATATAATCCGATATTGTTATTACGAATTTTTAAACTACGTCATAATTTTCAAATTTCGTAGGACTCGCGCCATCTTAAAAAATGATGACGTCACAACGTAATGGACGCGAAATTGAAACTCGCAGTAATAAATGAAGAAAATTCAAATAAAGACTTACAAGAAATCGCTTCTTTAGGAATATCAGTAGCCGGAAAGCCCTGCGACTCAAAGTACGGCCTGACAGCGTCACATTTCAATCCGGCGCGCACCGTGGTCGTCGTGACGCTAAGGATCAGGATAACACATAACATCGGCAGCATACCACTCATAATTATTCCCGTAGAGAACACTCGCGATACACTCACGAACTGACGCGACAAATACGCGGGATGTGACACTTGCGGCTGTACATTCGCGGAAACGTAATTGTATAATCGTGATTCGGCTTGATAAGCACGTTTGACGATTCAAAATGAGTAGCGCCACGATGGTTTTGGTAATATGGAAAATAAAATTTGAAAGAAATGCCGAAAATATCTGTGAAAGAGGGATAACAACCCGGTACGAAACGTTCCTCGTACTGGTTCGACGCGCACTGACCGACTCGTGGAAAGAACGCGTGTCGACAGTGGTGCACGCATGCGCAATATTCGAAAGGCATCAGGGTGGAAGAAACTGTTTGAAATTTCATGGCACGCTGTTACGCGCCAAACTGGTTGCCATGCGCAGACCGGTAAATTTATTTGAATTTCTTTATACGAATTAAATTTTTAATAGAAAATTATCAGGAGGGATATTTATAAAAAAACTGCATGAAATAATCTAAAATATATTTAATGTAAACGATTATTGATCATATAAACATCAATAACATCAATAAATAGTATTACTGCGATAATGGACGGTATTGAATTTCCAATTATTGGACGGAATTTGCGTTATAAACTAAGTAGTATATGCAACTAAATTACGTAAGTACGCTGCTTTTAGTGTGCACGATAAAATTCTTTTATAATAAAGGAACTCAATAATTTATACTAAAAATGATAACAAAATACTGAACAAAAGAGTACATCTGTGTACAAACTTACAAATGAGATCAAAGATTATTCACTTGTTCAATGACAATAATTGTCATCGACTTTAATCATTTTTTCTAAAGTAAAAAGAATTATATATTTACCTCGTGTTATACAATATTAATTTAACTAATCACTGCCATACACTGATCTAAATGATCAGAACATTACTTCTTGGCCTTACTAAGTCAATGAATTAATCAGGTACCTGATAAATTATCCAAATGATAATACAGATTAAAATCAATTCTTTTAAGCAGTGTACACAACTATAAAAGCGAAACATACCCTTCCAGTGACAAGCTTAAAATTTGCCAGCAACATGTTAAAGTACAAGCTTTAAATATCTGTTTGATAATACATGCTCAATGCATACTCACATGCATCAACTACATGTATGTAACCGTACTGTGGCACAAGGGACAAGCGTTAATATTAACTACATCTCTGTCTGTAGCGACGTAATGTCTGCAAACTGTGCAGATCCACGCGTTGCTCAAGTCCATCAGCGATTTCCCAGAGATGATACAAGGCGGAAACCTTGTCATACAATTGGGGCAAGCGACGCACCAGTCGGGTATTAGACTCTCACAATTGACGCATTCTGCTTTAGAATTACGGACATCTTGGGGACTATGTTTGGTAAAGATGTCCACAGCCAAATCCTCGTATTCTTCTTTGACTGCTTCTGAAATATTCTCTAGAGACTCCAATTTAATAAATGCCTTAGAACAGACTGCAAACGCATGATTAACTGCACTTGATAGAGCAAGCAAGCAATAAATGTCTTCAGGTTGCAAAATCTCCTCGTATTCTCTTAATCTTAGTGCTGTTTTCATAGCTGCATCGAAATTTCCTGAATGTATTTGTCTATTTGCTAATAAAAGAAAATGATAAGCTTCTGCACCTTTCCAAGCATTCTCTATTACTTTAGTATCTTCGTTATTCTCTGTTAATCCCATCACAACGTTGCTACGACCACCTTTAGTAGCTGGAGCGCTGTTGATGTGGTCCTCGATTAGTAGTGCTGCTAGAACATAAATCTTTTTCACACGTAATGGATTCGTTCTGGTCTTTGCTTCCTCCTCTGCCAATTGAAATAGCAATTTCGCCGCCTCTAAGTTGTAATTTGCCTTCTTATATAATTCTATTGCTTGCAGTCTCTTTCCATTAAGCAAAAGATGATTGGCGTATTTGTTCAATAATTCACCTATCTGAGCCATTTTATAAGTTTTTGCTAGTTCAACAGCCTGGTCCCAATGATTCAAACGAACACACGTATCTACGGCTAATTTCACATCGCCGTATTTTATATACGCTGCCACAGCCTGAGAACACATGCCTACAGAACCCAACATTCTTGCTACCTTTTTCAAAAGAGGACTTTTATCTGGTAACTGTTGTACTGTCCCTGCTAACTGAACAAAGTCCTCTAATTTATAATAGCATTCTATGAGCTTCTCCAAATTCCTACTCTTTTCATAGTACTCTTTTGCACCTTCCCAATTTTGTCTTTCTGCATAATATTCGCCAATTTTATTGTATGCAAACTCCATTTGCTTATCAGATCCACCGATACCCATTTTCATTAGTTGTACCACTCGAAAATAATCTCCCAATTTTTGGCGTAATGAAATAGCAAGATCCCTTCTATCCATGTCTAAATATAATTTTTCTGCTTCGTCATATTTGCCAAGAAATGCAGCTACCTCGGCTTTCTTCAACTGATCGTTATGTACGTTTTGCAAACGTTTGATGAATTGTATACCTAAATAGTCTGTACAACGAACCATTGCATTTTCTGCAGTCTCCAAATCCAATTTCTGTAAAGCTGACTCTGCCAATAAACGCCATAATCGAGGATGTGGATTATCCTGAATAAAATTATTAGCTTCTTTCAATCCTACCTTCATCAACAATTCTCTAGTGTCTCTTAAGGATTTTACTTCTAAATCTACTATTAATTCATTTTTTGTATCTTCTGGTTTCTGCATGAGATCATCTAATAAAACACAACGTATTTCTAAATCTAGAAATGAACAGATATATCCAGAACAAGATATTGGTTCTTCAGGATCGAATTCTCTTAAAACATACATTCTAGTTTTTTCTATGATTGCTAATAGTGCAGGATTATCTTGTGCCCAGCACATAGCCCACACATCTTTCCTTTCAAATTTACTAATCTCATCCTCTTGCTCTCCATCCTTTAAAATATTTTTCTTAGGATCAGTTTCTAAATCTAACATAGTTAAAACACCAGTCGAATCCATAATGGATACTCGAGATGAATCACAGTTAATTGCAATCTTGTAAAGCTTACAAGCTGTATTGTACCTATTTGTAAGAGTTATCTGAGATAAAGAATATCTTTGTATCATTCCTGATTCTCTGCCTATCAACAGAATCTTGTCAGTCGCACATAAACAACAAATTGGGTCCATAGTAATTTTAGTATTAATAGGTGTTTCAAAGGATCTGTCTTTATCTAAATCTTGAATAACTTCCGTCACTCCGGTTGGAGTTTCATCGATATGGTAAATCTTGTCTCTTTTAACCCGTCCTGTGTGCAACATGGAATTACGAGGAGTGCGATAGCTCCAAACTAAAAAATTGTTCTTGGATGCTGTAACAATCACACTATTAGTCATGGTTACCCATAATGGCTCCAAATCTATAAACTTTGTATCTATTGGAGTAGCAATTGTATTGCACACTAAGAGCGCAAATTGCTCTGATCCTCGAGTAAGTTCATTTTTTATCGCCAAAACACAATGATCTCCGTGTGACGCTATGGAGATTAATGCTCTCACGTTCTTAGTACAATATGTATTATTTGTTGTATTCCAAAACATGATACAAATGCCATCTTTGGTGATCTTTTCGTTCGTATACACAACTGTATTACTAAAGTAAGTCCACTTATAATCTAAGCGTATATTTGCAAAATAAATATGAGAATCAACTGATAGAGCAACTCTGAGAGAACCTCCTTCCCATGCACAACATGTAACCTCTCTGCCAGGTATTTTTAAGGTCCTCATATGTTTACCAAATGGTGTATAGAATTGAATAACATTAGTATCTTTTGTTTCTCCATTGCCCAATAATGATATCATTCCAGTTATAGCTAATATAGACCCATAACTATTCCAACAACACCATGATGCTGTCATTCCAGTTTCTACTACAATTGGATTATCATCATTTGTATCTTTCATGAGTTGTATTTTACCATTTCTATAACAAACAGCTAAAGTAGGACACTCTAAACCGACATAACCATTTCTTCCATCATACCATTGCAATGAAACTATTGTTTGAATTTGACCACCATTAAGTGGTATCATGTTCAACTTTGTTAAAAATACACCCTGGTTGTCAAAGAGGTGAACTTCTCCATTTTTTATGCCAAATAATAATAATTTTCCATCTGGAGACCATTGTACTGCAGCAAGAGCTATATTTTTTAATTCTTTTCCCCAAATTCTATTGCCATCGACTGAACCTACAATTACTGCTCCATCTTCATAGACTATGCAAATTTTTAATCCATCTAGACTCCATGCCATCCCTTTAACTATTGATTTATTGCAATTGTTTATCATTTCATCATACCAAGAACCCTTATACAACATCCAAACTATGATTACACCATTTTGGTCGCTTGAGGTCAATTTTTGATGTTGTTCATTCCATGTAACTACTTGTACATGACCATTATGACCCTCCAAAGTCTGGTTCATACTTAAATTACTGGCAGCTGTTAAGTTTCTACATTTTCCACTACTAGTAGAACCACTAATATTAGAATCTACTCTGAGTACTTTCAATAAACCATCTTCTCCACCAACAGCTATATAACCATCTCTTTGATTCCATGCTATACAATTCAGTCGAAAATTGTTTGGAATTGCTATTTTTTTACTCAAATATACAAACATTTTAATAATATTCAATAAAATCAGTTATGGTTTATTGAATTAATTTCTAAAAAAAATAATTATATTATATTAAAACACATGTTACAATTATTCAATCAGTGCTTAATTTTTATAATTATAATTATTGGTCACTTACATTATTATACGATGTTGATAACATTCATCATTAAAAAAGGAACAATTTGTAAACAATGTTTATTATCTGAATGTCAAAAGTATTTACATTATGGTGTTTTATACTTTAAAACACTCCTAAACATATCGTTTAAACATTTAATTTAATTAATCATATACATTTTTTATAACTTGTATGGCTTGATCTTTGATAAATTCAAATATTAATTTAAAGAAAGAGTTAGCATATAAAATTAAAATTCGATTACAAATATATATTGAATCGGAACGTATTTATATTCCCATTCACATCGATGCTAGGAAATAACATAAAATGTATGCTTCTGACACTTTAAATTTGATCATTTGATTTTAGAAAAAAAGTTATTGAGGTTTAACTAATATATACAAACAAGTCAATTATTAGAAATTACTTTATTCTAATAAAAATATATTTTGAGCTAAAAAAGTGGTTTGTATATAAATGCATTTTTTAAGCTATTCTGAATCAGACAAGAATCATCTACTCCCATGAAAATTGAACGGTATAAAATATATATTTCGAAGTACATGAAAATCGTCTGCAATTTATTATTCTTTTCAATGCTATACACATATGGTACATAGAAAAATATTAAAGTTTAATTTCCGATTTCTATTTTGGGCTTAAAAATAGTAAGATTATGTGGTAATTTTTCTACAACACCCTTTCGTCGCCACAATAGAATCCAACAGTCGCTTACTTCCGGCTGCATACTTGCAATTAATGTACAAATCTCAGGTCTTTCAATAAATATATTAGAATCAGGAAAATCAACAATATTTTCACATCCACTAATATCGATATGCCTTAGCGTTGGCGTATATTTTAATAATAAATTTAAAGATTGTACCCCTACTTTTCTGTTCCCTCTAAGCACCAATTTTACAAGATTTGATACACGTGATAATATATTTTTGATATCAATATCTGATAACTCACAAGAAGTAAGTTCCAAACACTCCAAATTCACAAATGAAAAATTCGTCGTATTAAAAATATTTTTGATCAAATTAAATTTACTAGAAGTGTTTGATAAATTTAAGTTAAGTAGTTGCCTATATAATGTAGTACAGAGTTCACCTTCATCAAAACTATTCCAAGAAATATCTAAATTCACTAGATTACAATTGTTTGAAAGGAACTGAAAAGTACACAATTGACAATATCGCAAATTTAATGTCCGAAGCTGTGTCAAAGGAGTAAAAAGTTTGTACAAAATTTCTTGACTCAATGGTCCAAGTGGATTATAACTAAGATCTAAAAACTTAAGTTGTGAAGGTAGTTTTTCTAATTTACTTAAGCATTTCGAATCTATATCACATCCTTGAAGGCACAATTCTTGTAAAGTTGACAATTTTAAAATGCAATTATTCAAAATTTCTCCAATGTCAAACAGTTCACCACCAGATAAATCCAATATTTGAATATTCTTCTGATATTCCAACGTTTTTAATAAAGATATAAATTCCTCTCTTTTAATAGTTTCTTGTTTTAACCGAAAAATTAACGTATTCTCGCATGATTTCAAGCACTTTAATATGCATTCTTGAACATCTAAAAAAATTGAAAAGTTATTAAGAAAAAGATAAGTATACTTATAGAATACCTACCTATATTATGATTTTTACAAATCGTTACATATCGCTCAACAATAGGAGGAGTTTCTAATTCAATTATTTCGCATATCAAATTTTTAATAATGTCTCCTTCGTTTAAAATCGCAAATACATTGTTAGAATTAATCGCAATGCCGTTCATAGTTTTTAAATCCAACTTTACTTTACATCCACTATCGTTATAAAATTTTGTTTCGATATCAGTTATAATTTCTTGTATCAATGGTCTTGTTGTACTTGAATATTCTACCTGTGTTTTAAATATTTTTCCATCCACAGAAATATTTAGAATGACTGATCTCGTAGTATCGATCTCTCTTGATTCAAATTCTGGAGTAGATGGAATTACAGGTGAAGAACTTCGAGAAGTCGAATTTTTAGTAAATCCAATTGATAACAAAGACATTTGTTGTTTCTTTTTCTGTATCCTACATTCATTGGAATCTTGTATTATTTCCGTATCACAATTATCGTTACTACTGTCATGTATTACATCATTTTCATTATCTTCTATCATCAAATTTTGATCATTTATTTTTTGCCGTTTTAAATTTTTCTCGACATCAATATCACAATTGCTGGATTTCCTTTTCGTCATCGAAGAAGAATGTCCGTCAGAATACCTTTTCTCATTTATACTTTCATCAATATCATCTTCTAACCAATCCTCTAAAAGTATCTCCTCATTATTTAAAAGTGGATTTACATTTCGTTTTGTACAAGGCACAGAAACTCCAATTGGATCATTTCTATGTTTCAAGTTAGCTATAGTTCTTTTATAATCTTCACCTGCAGAAATCTTTTCTATAGTAACATCTTGCACTACAGGATGAGTTTTTGAACTACATGGTGATTTATAAGATTGTTTAGAATTTTTTTTTTTATTTTCAGGTATCATAACAGACAATAATTTATGCATCTCATCGTAATCCGCTTGATCTTCCGGAGATAGAAAATCAACACGATTTTTCCATTGCTCTAAACAATCTAGTACAGTATCGTCTTCATTCGTTTTAAGTTTCACATTTGCTCCATGTTCAATTAGAAGCCTCACCATACTAATATTGCCACAAGAAGCTGCATCATGAAGAGGAGTAACTCCTTGACACATTAAACTACCAGGATCATTTACATCTGCACCATATTTCAATAATAATTTTGCAATTTGCATATGACCATGATTAGCCGCTTCGTGCAGCGGAGTCCAGCCAAAATGATCTCTAACATTTGTTGAATGACCAGAATCTAATAATTTTTGTACAGATTCAACATTTCCATTGATACAAGCCACGTGAAGCTGCGTTTCCCCTTTTTCGTTCCTTTTTATTGCAACTGATTTTTTTTTTGTTCTTTTTCTGTTCCTGACATTTTCTTTAATTTTTAATTCTGCTTCAACATCTGATAAATCTTCTAAGCAAATGTTTGCACCAATATTATTCTCCTCTGATTCGCTTTCACTATCTATATCACTACACACCTTCTCCATTGTATCTAACTTTTTTGTAAGTGATTCTATTTCTTCTGTTTTACCAGAATCTTTTAAATAATTTAAATGTTCTTTTAAGACACTTGCTTCCAAAGAAATATCATTGCAAGCTTTCGCATTTTTCAAAGCTATAATATAAGTTTCTTGAATCTTCTCATCAGTTGCTTTATTGACTATTAACAGATCCGCTAAAAACAAAGCAGATCTACATATTTCACGTGGATCTATGCATAACTCCAATTCTTTATAGGCAAAGTCCAACGCTTCGTTATATTGTCCGACATCCTTCAAAGTTTGCGCTAAACTTAATAAAGCTGCTCCTATGCGATCACTTTTTATCTCTTCCGCACATATGAGCATTTTTCTGTAGTATTCTATAGCTTTCTCAAAACAATGTGCAGCTACTGCTGCATCTCCAAGTATTTCGTAAAATTTTAACTTATCACTGATACTTTGTTCTGTACTTAAAGCAACCTCAGTTGCTTGTAATGTTGCAACTATAAACAAATTAATTTTTTAAGTGAATTATTTATTACGAATTTTCGAAAAAAATTATAATTATTTTCATAAATCATACCTATCCTAAGACATTTCTCTACTTGAGACTTGAGATTTTGCGATAAATTGTCTGTAACATAAAGAGATACTAATATCTTTCGAGATTCGGACCATCTTTCCATTTTTAAGAGCAACTCTGCTTGAAAAAATCGTGCTTCCGCTTTTAATGTTGAATTATCGACTTCAGTGGCAGTTTCAAAATGTTTTAATGCTAATTCGTAATTGCAATTACGATCGTAAATTCCACCGAGAGCAATTTGCGTTCTATGGAAATCTTCTCGCAAATTATGGGTCTGACACAATGCAGCAGCCTTTTCCATTAAATCAACAGCTTCTTGATGCTTTTTCTCAGCTTCTAGTACCAAACCCAAATTTAACAATAACCGTGCTCTCATTGTAATTAATTCTTTTAAATCAATATCAGTATTTCCAAGTCTAAATAAAATAATAAAATGTAAATATTTTATTTAAATACTACATGGAAAATTTATATTAAACTAATAAAAAAGGTATAGTACTCATTGCAAAGACGTATACTCTTCATATATGCTTTCCTTGCACTTGTGAGTATATCAGGCCTTTTTTCAAATTTTTCAGGCAAACTTTCAACCCAGCAAAAATATGTTCTCCCCAATGTTGCATAAGCTCGTTGTTCTTCTAATAAATTTTTTATCTCCTTGGCTCTTTCTACCTAACACAAAAATATTCTTATTATAGCCATATAATTTTTAAATATAATTAAATTCTGTTACTAGACATAAAACACAAACCCAAATAAAGATTTTGATGTTTCAATGCTTCTTCATAAGTCCCAAGATTTGCATGCATCTCTCCAATCATTCTATGAGCTATTGCTATATTCAATTTGTCTTCTAAAATATTGCAGATTTCCAATTGTTCTGTATATTCCTGCAAAGCAGCTTCATACTTGCTACTTTCAAAGTATATATCTCCAAGCTCTTTAACAATTTCAGCCAATTGTTGAAGGTTGCCATCACGTGTAGCCCGTTTCTTCCTTTTAATTAATCCTATTATCAAGTCAAGTGTTATATATACCTAATATACTGCATAACTTCCTGAAGAAATTGTATTTACTGATTTTTATGTTACATGATAAAGCTTAATTACCATACATTATTTGTTTAAATATACAAATTTCAGTAATATCATATTTATATTTAGAATATTTTACACATTAAAACAGAACAAAAACAAAGTAATTTTTAATAAACATTTAAGTAAAATAGCACTCACTCTCGATATCCATTATTTACAAATGTGAATTATTATAAAACCAAGTGATTCACATTCTATTTATTGAACCCGAATTCGAACCTCATGTAGTCAGAAATATGCCGCCGCACAGACACAAAGAGGAACATCAAACCGAGATCACAGTCACGCACGAAAAGTATCAAGCACTACAGCAGACACCTCATAACGGTAAAGAAGAGAGCATGAAGTGCCATTGATGGAGAAACGAGGCAAAATTGTCCAAGTTACTAGACGTCGAAATTACCATTGATCGTTGAAAAAAATAAGGTACTGTCGCACTTTAAAAATTTCATCTAAAATATTTGAAAAATTTATTTGTAATATTTAAAATATTCTAAAATATTTATAAAACCATCGATACTTGTACAAGTGAAATAATGCAAAATGAGACCGTGAGAAAAGAATTACTGACTAAATTCCAGGGACATTGAGCACAATTAATATCGTTTTAACTGTAATTACATTAAAAAGACGACAATGAACGATTCACGCAAATCATGGTGTAGTTTCAAGTGAAAATAGTGAAAATTCACGTACGCGTGCTATGATATGCGCTTTCATAATTCTTTGCCTAATTCAAGACTTGCGTGAACTTCAATGACTTCATAATCTACGGAGCACAAGTACAAGCTGGTACGAGGTAGTACGAGCATTTAGCAGTGGGTAACCTGTGGCGCTTGAAAGTTCACTCTTGCCTATGTGATTCGTCGATCGTCAGTCGGGCCGTGTTGCGGGTCGAGAAAGGGTGATGGGTGTTCTCTCTTTTTACACGTTGACACGGAGTTGACATATTGCGGAAAAAATCCTACTTTGTTCCGCTTTTCTCTCTGATATTGTTTGATGATCTTCACCAGATCCACTAATGGCAGGAGAGTTGCGTAAAGAAAGGTTCATGGGTAAGTTGTAGGATGCTGCCAGACATTAGAATCACAACGACTTTGGATCGATATGTGCGGATTCGTTTTTCGTCGATTAATTTTTCTCATCTCTGGATGCTGTTCAATTTAGTCTTCGTTGCATTATACTAAAATAGTATTAAAAAAATATATTGTGTGTTGTAGTGACAAATTTATTTATATAAACAAAAATGGACTTGACTAACGGAATTATTTCCACTGTGCTTTTAATCAGTGAGATAAATTGCTATTAATTAAGGTATCCGTTATCAAAGGCGTACAACATAGTTGCCCTTGCCTGTTCAATATATTTAATTTTTAGTAATCATAAAATATATTTATGTAATTTCATTACCTTCTTTATTTCGATTTTTTTAGTAGTTCAGTAGAATAAGGATGTCATTTAATATACTTTGTATATTATTTTTTTCTCTAAAAATTGATTATTACATTAGAATAAATATATGTTTAAATCTGATTTATGTCTTAATATAGTATATGTGATCAGAATTATTTGCAGCACTATTTCTTTTTTTAGATCTAGAAATCAACATATGTATATTATTGTGTAACATACCTGTATTTATTTTAAAGTTATTTCTCTTCAGTTACAGGAATATTTTATACAATTATATTTTTAAAAACATTGCCTTTGAAGCAAATTATTTTTAAACCAAGCAACATCTGTTTTTACTGATTAATCTGCTTAGTTCCAGTTCAACCACGACCGCTTCTGAATTTACGTACATCAGAAAGCTCCACAATGTTCTATTGCGATATTGAAATTCACCAACGATGGAAGAAAGAAAACTTACAAAATCCTGTGACACTCTGGCAAGGTTGAACAAGAATGAACATAAATTGTTTGAGAAACAAAATCATTGTATCAAGCCATTACCTATTACATTTAATGAAGAAGATGCTGAAATAGTAAATGATAAAGATTCCATTAATGATTCAACAAAACTCAATTATTGTAATAACTCCACAAAAACATTATTATGTACAAAGGATTCTCAAGTAAGTTTTTATAATTAAATATGTTATTAATCATCTATATTATTGTAATAATATTATTTAATTATTATTTTGAGAACTCTCAGGAAAGAGACCCACCCTCGCCAACTACACTGCAATGGGGAAGAGCTATAGCTGAAGTAAAAGAACATGCTGTAGCAAAATTACAGGATGAGCTTAAAAGAGCACATGAGGAATTAAAGTTGAAAGATGAAGAAGTTACAAGGCTTTCAAGGATCAAGCAAGATGTTGAAGCTGAATTGGAGGAACTCACTGCCAGTCTCTTTCAAGTAAACTTTATAGACTACATTGTTAATATGTTATATAAAGATATATAAAAAAATGAAGTAAAATTTTATATACAAAGGAGGCACATAATATGGTACGAGAAGCAAATATACGTCAAGCTACAGCAGAGCGCTTATTGGAGGAAAGTCGTATGAAAGCTGAAGTTTTAGCTGCTGAAGTGGCAGCTTTAAAAACGTTAGTATTAACTTCGACGCCGGCTAAACCAAACTTTCATCTACATCCGCAAATCGATACGAAAAGTCGTCCAAATAATGAAGATAGTCAGCAAGGTCTTTTCGCAAGAAAACATAGAAGGTAAAAATTCATTTCATTATTACTTTAATTGAGTACTATTTAACACATGTGCTTTGATATTAGATATCAAGAATGTTAATAAATGGAATTGGTATTTAAACTAAATTGTAGATATTTTTGTATTTAGGTCACCATCGCATTTCAATTTAAAATACGGTCGAGAGAGTTCTCCACCGGATTCCCCACTAAAGGAACAAAGACCATCTTTACCATCAGATCGAGAGACACTAGAAAGAGATTGGAAGAAAGATTCAGAAAAAGAGAAAGACAAAGACAAAGAATGCAAAGATTTCGGCCTCGAAGTTGATCCTAGAGTACATACAGAGTTTCTTAAATGGAAAGCGAATCCATGTGTAGACAAAGGTGATCCTTTCGTTGGTAGAATCTTTAAAGAAGACATCGATCTTTGCCTTGATTTCCCTAACAAAGAATTGGGCACAAAAGTTAGGCAAGCCGTTCTTGATGGTATCATTTTTATTGAAGCGATCAGCGACAAAACTAAATTCACTTTTCCAAAGTAAATCTCGTGTTTCAACATAGAATCAATATATTATAAATTTTTTGACATATTAAACTAACATTTTTTTTTTTTCTTTTTTTGTTAGGAAATGTGTACTACTCGAAGCACCGCGCCAATGTTATTATCGAATGAGACTCGGGGATCAAGAAAATCAGTGGTACAGCATATCACAAATTTGTCGCAATCGAGTAAGTATTTAAGTTTCTTACATAATTTATTGTAAATTATTAGAAATAAAATGAAAAATATATCTTTGTAGATCATAGCGGTCTGCGATTTCTTAAATTACTTGCGCTATATTGAACGTGGCCTTGTTAAAAGCTCAGGTAAAAGTTAATTATTTTTATCCTATGCTTTTTTATAGTATGAAAAATTAAATTGTTTTTACAGTTCATGATGTTTATTGGGAGATTACTCGATTACGAAAGGAAATGGCATTTGCTCGATTGGGCCTCGCACTATCGTCTTAAACACTCTCCATGGAGGACTTTTTCTAGTCTTAAATGTAACAAATTAGGCCATGGATCTGTTATTATTCATTTACAACTATCAACTGTAGATTGTTAAAAATTTTAATCGTTCCAACTAGCCTCGATCTTTTTTATCTATCGATCGAGATTTTTTTAGAGTAAGTGTTAAAGTTTTAATATATGAAAGCTCTCAGATTCCTCTATTATAGCGTGAAACGCTTCGAATTATTTAAGAAAAAAGAAAAGAATTTATACGAACCAATTTATGAATTCTTTCAATTGAGATTATAGTTTCTAAAGAATCATATTTTATTTACAAGCATAATATTGAAGACTTCTTTAATGATCTGAAGTTCATTTTATATTATTTTATTACCATAGCAAGCATAAATATGTTTTGATCAGTTTTAAAGTGCAATCAAATATTTCTAAGATATTGGGGAACATGGTGCCTTTTGACTTTCTGCTTATTAATAACACTTGACTAGCTTTTAGTTTAAGCTATATAGTTAGTAGCGATTTAATCGCAACAGGTGAAACGTATGATTTCATTATTTGTATAATTTATTAGCAGCTATAGTTTTTATTTTATTCAAATCGTATAATGGTCACAAATAATGCAGACTATTATCGCTGTTTATTAAAGAAAAAAGTGTAAATGTTGTAGTCTAAAAGACTAGAGATATAAATGTCTTTTAAAATCTTTCTTTACATTATCTTTCGTTTGTTTCTATATACGTAAGTACACATACCTTTGGACATAACAATTGAGACCTTAGCTTTATTGAAAAGAAATCTTATAATTTACTCATAATTTAATGGGAAACGTGTCATCAAACATTGAAACAATTAAATTATTTCAGTGTTTCTTTAATGTATAAGTATTTCAAACTTTGCATAAAGATTTAAAATATGCCATAAATAACTTATAAAAAATCAAAAACAGAAATGTGTATAATTATTGTAGTACTTGATAATAAGTTGCATGACATAAAATAATTAAAATTTATATGTTTAATTCTAATTTAAGAACGAATATTATATTGAATGTAATGATAATTAGCATTTTTATACGCGATAACATATATTTTCGTATAATATAAAGCTGAACATGAATTTTGTCCAAAGGTACATAGTTTTCTCCCCCCACAGAAAAAATTGTATTATATTAACTCTAAAAGATATTTTCTTCTGTTGCAAATATTAACTAGTACCTGGTAATTAGCGTGCATATTAGAAAGAATGTATACTGTTAAGGATTACATGAAATGCTATACATATATTATGTCATATAAGTAACATATGACTGAAGTGATAAAAAATAATTGGAATTATGAATATTTGGTGTATGCTATAGCTAGAAAATCGTCTTTTACACTGTACCAGATTATGATCCAATTAATAGAAAACAATTCTTTCATTATCAATTTCTAGTATAATACTTTAATTTTATTTTATTTAGTCATACAGAATTAGATATCTGATATCGTATATACAATCAAACATTGTTATTGCTACATATAAAAATGTTTTAACCCGATATGACTGATAAAAAAAGTCTTAATGCTATATTTCATTTTACATCTTTATGAACTTTTTATCTGAGTCATTAAAATGACTCAAACAGAACATTTACGCTTTTTATTCTTCCATGAAAATTTAAATTAAATCGAATATATAAAACTGTTTTTATAAGTCTATATAATTAATTGTTAAGGATATGTTTCCTGTGTATTGATGGTGCTTCACAGTAATTATTGCAAAAAATAACTGTATAAAATACTTAAATTAATTTTAGGAACTTGGTTCTTTAGCAAGTTTTATATGATCAATCAAAAAGAATGTGTTCGAATAGGCAAATACAATGAAACATATTTACGTTAATACGTGTCATGTTTTAACTTGAATTAATTTCCTGCCTAATTCAGCCTTGAAAGTAAAATTCTCAAATCAAAATAAATTTTAATTTCCTATGTGAAAAAGTTTCTATCATTTTTTCGAACTATCCAATTTAAACTGATAAAATATGTATTCGAAAATACATATAATGTTATTCCGAAAAGTTGAGATATAAATACGTTAAATATTAATGATGGAAATGACAGGAAATTAAATGGTAATTACATGTACATGTTAAATAGTCAATTAGAAATATTCTCAATAGTACTTGTTCAAATTGTTCAAAGTTGCCAAAGATTACTTCCGAATAATTTTTATCGAAACATACTGAATTATATTACTAGATGTGGTTTCTAGACACATTTAGATTCGGAAAGACTAAAATGATTTTCGCATAAATATATAAAGAGAATGTAATAGTAATTGTCAGAAAAATCAGTATCATAGCTATATTAAAATAAATTTTCATGTTCATTAGGGTAGTAATAAGTGTATGATCTTTAGTTATTCATAAGCTTTATATGTATTGTAACTATAATTATTTTTCGACCTAATTATTAATTAAATAAAATTATTTGTTTTAATACTAAATTTGCGTATAAGTGAATTCTTTCATAATATTACACTATTACAATCGTAAATTACGACTGAATTTGACAATTTTAACCGTCGAGACGACTTCCGTTTAAAGTTCTGAATTTTTTAAGTTGCTTGCACTTTAAGTTTATCTATTTCATTGAAATTATTTAAAAATCCAGTTTAATTTGAAAAAATGTTATAATTTTGAATGCTCTTTGATACCATAAATGCAATGAAACGTATCGAACTCATTTAAAATTAAAAATAGTAATTTAAATACACACCTATTGATTCATCGCAAATTGTTTCCTTTTCTATTCAAAACTTAGTTTTCATGTTTTGATTATGACCGTTTACATTGTATTTTTGAAAAATATCATTGTATTACTATTGCCGTATAACTTATACAAAGTTAAATATCTACTTATCAATTTCAAGCATATTAACTATGGAAACACAAATAACTATGGAAATATTTGAAACACAAAATATCTTTCTACTAACACATCTATATATAGAATAACCATAGTACGTCACACATAGCAGCACAAGGTGCTAGGAATTGACCAGTAGATGGTGCTGAAGATTTGCACTACCTGATAATGCTTTGTGCTGATTAAGATTATTTTTTTTCTTCATCTCTGTACCGTAAAAGCTGTAAAGTATCGCGCGTCTACGTACTATTCCTTAGTTATATTGCCCAGTTTATAGTGAACGCACGTCCGGCGCAACATGCGGGGCATAGCAACATTTATAGCGCTTTGCGCCATTGGAGTAACTCTTTATTCAGCGTAAGTTTATTTACAATGAAATAATTAATAATAAATTGAAGATAATATCGTTGAAAACATTGACACACCGAAAGAAACATCAGTATATAACTATTATTTTTTAAATGCTTGATTCTTTTTTATATCTTTTGTATTAAAAACATTCCTGGCATTACGCAAAGTTCATTAATTCTTGAAATTTTTAATAATATTTTAATAAAGTTTTTTTACAACAATAACCTCATATAGAAAGATATTGATAGCATAATTTACCGTCAAAACATCTTGTAAAATATAACGTATATAATCAAATATTTGAAAATTTTAATATTTAAATGTTTTTATGATTAAAAATTTATACGATTTAGATATGTATTTAAATTTATATTTAAAAAATTTGATTGTTTCGTCGGAAATCCATACTTTTATATTTGTAATACTTTATTCTCGAATGTTTGATTTTTCATTGACATTATGAATTATGATAAGTTATAATATCTCAACCGTTTGATATCACTGGTTAGAAAGAAATTCAATGTTACTAAGTCATTATAAATATAAATTGCTATGATCAAAGTCGAATGCAAATGAGATCAACATACATATCAGTGAATAAACAACTATGATTTATTTTCGAAAATTATCAAAAAATGAATAATTAGTACGTAATTAAAAATTTTAAGTTAGAGATTGATCAATAATAATTTATAAAATATATCCATTTCTATAATGGATATAACATATAATGGGTACATAATGGACACAACGATGCCACCGATTACTTTATTGAGTAATATAAACCTGTTAAATCCAAGGAGAGTGATCATGCTGATTTTGCGTCTTGAATTTAAATGTATAGGCTAGAGTATAGTACTAGTCATAACAGAAACCATGATTAAGCATATTTAGATATACATGTACTTACATTTTTACATCGAGAAATAAAATGTATATAATTAAAAAGAATAATGATATTCGATTTTTGTTCCCTAATTGTATGAACTTTAGCTAGAAATGTAATATTTCAAAAATTATTGGTTAAATATGTTTGCTGAAACGTTGTAATGTAATTATAAAATTGACTTTCGAATTTTTTCAAAATCAAAAAAAGAAATTAAATCCATTTGATTAAAAGCTAAAAGTAAAGAGTTAATATATATTGAAAATTTATTCTTTCGAATTTTATATAAAATATTATTTACGATAGATCTAGTATTAATTGAATCTAGTTACAGAGTCGCTATCAATTTATAGTTTCTAATGTAAGTTACTCTGTGATAAAGTTCATTGACTTAAATAGAATAAAGTAACTTTCTTCGTTACTTTCCACTTCTGCATCCCCAGTTCTTTCGATACAGATATAGAAACATTAATATTGATCTTTTTTATTCGCAATAAGATGCGAAGTTCATTGATAACAATGTAAGATTATCGCAAATCACGGCTGTTTTATAAGCTGTTTTATAAACACTTTGAAACGACAAAATGTTAGTAATAGCCGTGTTATCTAATTCGAGTAACATTTAATTACATAATTGTCTGAAATAACGATATATCATGGCGTTCGAAATCACGATTATGGTTTGCAACTTAAAAGCGGAATGTAACGGTTAGTAGGTAATATATTTTTTGTTATTGTGCTTTTGACACTCATCTTATTTGCACGAAAGTTACATTCCTATCGTCAAGCAATTTTTCAATAAATCCTATCAGCATATTACTATTTTAAATTAAGTCATTAAATTACATTGCAAAATTGAGTAAAAATTCACATTTTTGATTATTTTGATTATAGGTTATTTTACTCAATAGTAACGCGAGAAATATCAAGAAAGAAAAATTTTCCGTGATGAAAATATTTGCAGCCTCGTTACTTGCCATTTTGCACATATCATTATTGCGTAATCATGATATCCCAATTCGATAAAATTTAAGAAGCGTAGTCTTTCTTTGAGAATAAACTTATTTTTCAAGATAAATCTTATCATTTGTTTTATAGAGGTCACAAGTGATGATATACTAAAATATTATCTATCAACTGATGTTCAGATATTACGTTCTTTTATCTTGATTTAATAGGATCTTATTGTTATTTATAATTAATTTCACAAATGAATTCTATAATTTGCGTAGTTTCATGAAGGAAGTGAAAGTTCCGACTTTACCTGAGACGAATTGGAGTTCAAAGAAAAACGGAAAAGAGTCCACCGAAATACGACCCTTTAGTATCAATGTATCGCAATCGGTAAATAATTAAATTAGAATTATTTTGTAATTCGAATTTTACGATCAATTTTGTTTTTAAACGATTAAATTATTTTAAAAGGTACTGGACGATCTGAAGTTTCGTTTAGAGCATAGGAGGAATTACAAAGAACCACTGGAACATGTGGCTTGGACTTACGGTATTTCAACTAAATATCTGAATACGGTACTTGATTACTGGAAGGATAAATACAACTGGATCGAGAGACAAGCTTTGTTAAACAAGTACCCTCAGTATATCACAAACATTCAAGGTAATGGAATAACATATGTAGGATGGGATTTTGGGTGGACCGACTTAAGATAGCATTGTTGGCTTCTTAATAGAATAAAATAAGCCTATACATAGAATGACGGCTATGAAACAAAAGAGATCTACTATGGGCACGCTCTTCTTATCTTTCTTAGGCTGACTTGCATTTCTTACATACTTCCTGACTGATACATTGACACACTCTGGCTCTCCTGTGCCCTTGCACCCTTATTTAAATCATTCATTCTGTACTTTTTTCACACCCAGCTTTCCTTACCAATCATGCCATTTTCCCTGCAACCTCGGTGGACCAGGTACTTCAAACACATGCCGCACTCATAAACTAACTTCCAATCGTCTATCGCACTCGGCTGTCGTCTTTGTCACCTTTGTTCTAAGTTCAAACATTCCCGACATTTTTTCAACCCCATAGTCATTTCCAATCCTACATATATTCGTAATAATATACATATATTATTATTATACATATATATTATATATATTATATATTTTGTAAATAATATATAATTATATATAATGAAACAAATTTTAAATTAATCCTTTAAAATTTAGGTCTAGACATACATTTCTACCACGTTAAACCGACGAATCTTCCAAAAAACAGAAACTTAAAAGTTCTTCCTCTATTGATGATACACGGATGGCCTGGAAGTGTTGTGGAATTTCAGAAAATTATACCCATGCTAACAAAACCTTGGCCTACTCAGGACTTTGTATTCGAAGTTATTGCACCGTCACTTCCTGGATATGGATTCTCGGAAGGCGCGGTACGACCAGGCATGGCTACTGCTCAGGTAATAATTCATATTTAATATCGTAAATTTAAATTTTATCGTTAATTTGAATGCGTAAATTAACATAGTTAATAACTTCTTTTTCCTACAATGTTTTATTTAGATGGCTGTAGTATTTAAAAATCTGATGCAAAGACTTGGCTTTGAAAAGTTTTATATTCAAGGAGGTGATTGGGGATCCCTTATTGTTGCTAACTTGGCAGCTCTATTCCCAGAAAAGTTAGTAAACATAATAACATAAATCTTTAGAAAATATAACACTATGTATTTCATTTTTAGGGTAACTGGGTTACACAGCAATATGTGTAATACTTTGACACCAGTTAGTTTATTTTGGTCATTTGTTGGTACCTATTTTCCATTTATAGTTGGTGTTAATGAACATTATTCGAGATTTTTCCCATTAAGTACAGTTTTGTCCAATCTAATTCAAGAAAGTGGCTACTTTCATATACAGGCTACAAAGCCAGATACTATAGGTACTACTTGATATTCTTTATTTAGAGCTATTGATGACACTTGTGAATTAATATTTATTTATGTGAACTAATATTTATGAAACTTTTCATTAGGTGCTGCATTAGCTTCCTCACCAGATGGATTAGCGGCATATATTTTAGAGAAGTTCAGTACATGGACAAATCCAACGTATAGAGACCGAGACGACGGTGGTCTAACAGAAAAATATACGCTAGATGAACTTTTGGATAATATAATGATATATTGGGTCACTAACAGCATTACCACAAGCGTTAGACTCTATGCTGAAAATTTCAGTACAGCATATCGAGCTTTGTACATTGACCGGTAAATTTATATTATTAGATAGATATATGAATTTTATAGATTTTCAAGAAATTATTTAAATTGTATTTTGTTTTAGTGTACCTATCAAAGTACCTACAGGTTGTGCAGCTTTTCCCCATGAACTATTGTCTCAGCCTGAATCTTTACTTAAGGAGAGATACACTAATATAATTCACTTCAATTTTATACCACGTGGTGGACACTTTGCAGCCTTTGAAGAGCCCAGACTCTTAGCTGATGATATTTTCAGTTTTGTTAAAAAAACAGAGAATCTCAAAACAAAATCTGGATAAAATACATAGTACAACTTAAAAAATCTTCAACCATTGCACAACTATTGATATGTTTTTTTAGAATACCTTAATAAATTGTATCTGTTTCATATTAAATACAAATAAGAATCTGGATTATTTATATTCAGTACCATTTACAGTTTAATATATTATGCTTTATATACATTACCAAACATACAAAATTTTAAGTTTTATCTAATGTAGATTTTATACAAGTTTTATTTAATGTCATATTTAAATTAATTATCTTATCACTGATTAGACACTGCTAGCACCAGACTTTTCAACATTTTCTAACAAACTTTGTAAATTAGTCTCAAACAATTCACATCTAATTGGCATTTCCAATGAATAAAAAGGATTTTTCAAAGCATAATCTGCATACAGTTCGTATACTCTTTTTAACAAAATTTCTATTCCACTTTGTGTGGGCTCTGCTACCACGATAAATTTAATCCCAGTTAGTGTTTGGTAACAATGTAGTCTAAATGTATCAGCTTCTAAAATTTCAATACCAGAACAATGTGGTTCAGGACTTAATTGACTAGCAATTGCAAATAAAGGATAAAACATTGATGCTAAAAAAATTTTTTCATTAGTTGTCATTCTGGCACGACTAAATCTAAGTGATATAGGATAATTCTCTGACTGTTCTAACAGTTCAAAAACATCTTTTCCATTTTCTAATTCTCGTCCTACTACAGGACTTCCATTTACTGTAGTTAAAACGTGACCCACTGAAATAGATGAATAGAATCATTAATTTTCTAATCTTTTAATACATAATCAAAGGTAAAAGAAATATTATTCTCACCATTAATACCATCTTTTTGTCCAAATGAAACAACAATTTTTTTATTTTCGTAATTTAATTTTATATCAAGTGGAAAGTTAAATGTTTTTTCATTTTCGATTCGTGGAACATTATGATCATGATTAAAAATTAGTCCACCTGATTTTGATACGATATATACACCATAAATAACCATGATTAAATTATTTCAGGACACGATATGATAAATTAATACGTTTTAATAAGTTTTAGTTCCATTAGATTATCATTTTTAAGTAACTGTTTATTTGCAATAGAATTGTCAATGTCAAGCACTTGTTAGGTTATGTTTTATTTAGTACTCACGTGAAATAAAACAACGTCGGTATGTGTAATACATACTCCGTTACAATGTTACTAGAAATCTATACACCGTTCTAAGTTTTTATAATATAGACTATATTCTTTGCTTTTTCTCAGGTGAAATTTTATCTGTATCATGCAAAAGAATTCGAATTTTTCCCATAAAATATACAAAAATGATCCTTTATTATTTAAAAGTTATATTGGTATGGAAGTGAACATTTTAACTGAAGATGGTACCACGATTTCTGGTATTGTTTATACAGTTGATCCAGTATCAGAAAGGTTAGAATCTGTTATATAATATTTAAAATTCTCAATTATTTTTACAGTTGTAAATAATTTATAAATTACTTTGCAGTGTTGTATTGTTGCAAGGTTGCCAACAAAATAATTTAAAAATCATATTTGGTCATGCGATAAAAAATATAGAGGTCTGTTCGACTAAATTATACGAATTACCAGAATTGTTTACAAATGCACCAACAAATATCCTTCAAACAACGTTAGAAGAGCGAAAAAATGCTGTGATAAACTTGCTTCAAAAAAACAGATTCCCTGTAAGAGAGCAAAACCATATCTTGACAATTGAAAATGTACTTTCAATAAAACCACCCTATGAACCTGCTGACTGCATTTGCATTAATAATAGTATTATTTTAGGAAGAATTCAAGATCTTCTCACTAGTGTATAAATTTATTGTCTTAATGTTTTTAAAATGATATCTGTACACTTTTTATGTAACTATTAAATATAATAGTATTGGTAAATAGTTATAAGAAAAATACAAGTTGTTTTAAAAAAATTGCTTTATTTTTTAAATCTCAATTATATTTCTTTTTTTACCATAAAATATTTTATTTTTCGTACATATCATATCATCTAAAATAAAGTTTCGCTTGATATAAATCAATCGCAAATGAAATTCTTTCATTTACAATTGAATTAAATTTTAGTATAGATGCATATTAATTTCATTTTTTCATTAATTTTAATTCACATTATTAAGTTGTATTATTCTCAATTTAAATATATAATATGATCTTAAATACATTGATGAGAATAAATCGAAGCAATTTCTCAAACTATTTGTAACACTGTTAAAATAAGACACCCATTGTTTTCTAAGAATAAATTTGTTTGATGGACTAAATAAAAAAATTATATTAAAATATTTTGTCATTATTCTGAAAATTTCTTACACGAAAGTATATAATCTTATAATATTAAATTTGTATAAAATTGAATATTTAATCGCATAATTATATTGTTTTGAAAATAAAAAAATATTTGAAATTATAATTGCTCAAAATGTGTGCATTTTTTTATAGCTCATTCACTTTTCTTTCCAAATGGTGCTTTAATGGAAAAAGAAAGATACAAAGGTTAGGAAGATTATAAAACTACTTAAAATATTATTTTTCAAAAATAAAGTGTTAACTATAATTTAAATTGCAGTACAAATTTGTATGATCTTCAAAAGAAAAAAACATTATATTTTTTCATCTTAAGATTCAAACCTTTTGCTGTGATAACCGAAAGTATAAGTCACTGTCTGAGATAAATACAGAACAATCTTTCGAATTTTTCAGCAACTGTCATTCCCGGTAATTGTGCGTAGATGAATAGCTTTTATATTAAATGTGTCATGTATTTACCTTGATTTTCGTTGTGTGTGTGCGTACGTGTGTGTTATATGTTAACTTTCTTAAACATGTATGGAAATATACTATCTATAGAAAGTAGATAAATTTGCAAAGCTCTACTACCTTGAACATTTGCCACAGCAAAAAGGTTGAATTTCGATGTAAAACCTCGATACAAAATAAATGCAATTGCGGCAGTGCGCCGGTGCAGAATGCGTCAAAGAGCTTCCAAATATTCACAGAAAAATCTTGGTTCGATTTTTTCTCTTCCTTTAGAAAAATATCGAACTTCTAGCTTCTCTACTGTTTCGGGGAGAAAAAACTACTTTGGGTGAATTTTATTTGTTAAAACTACCTTGTGAATCTAGAATCTGTTGGCATATCACAGCCACCGATATGTGCATATGCCTCTACGAGCTTGGTGCACGTAAAATAACGGGGCAACTGAACCCTGACGCATTTTTCGCTTCTCCATTAATATTTCATATTTCGTTGTACATCGTTCGAGAAATTTAAAAAACTCGACACTTCTTTTGTTCGTGTGATATTTCTGACATCATTTATCGAGGAAGAGGTACAAGAAGCAATTTGTTCTAAAATAATGGATTGTTAATTCATGATTTCATATTCAATAATGATGAATGGATATATTTCTACGACGTTCAGAAATGATATCGTTCCTTTTGTTAACTGTGATAATTAAAAGGTTAAGTGTGCGCATCAATGGAAAAGCATATAAAAGAATGCGTGTAGAGTTCTTCCAAGGCAGTGTTTCTCCATAGAAATACGAGGCGCTTCTTTGGAGTAAAGTAAACGTCCTAGAGAGTCCATTTTCTAGGTAGCAGGTCATTCGGCCTCCCCATCAGAGTAATATTCTATAGGTGTCGGATCGCGAATTTTACGAGAATATCTTAAACCCAAAGAATCTGCAAGACTTTCAATGTGTGATAATACCTAAATAAGGAAAAAGAAAACAAAAAAGCAAAAAATACGCAATTAAGATTACAACTGCAAACATTACTTGTACTAGAGATAAAACAGACTAATACAAGAAAATTTTATACTTACATAATCTAATTGTTGTTTAGTATGTGCAGCAGAAAGACAAAATCGTATTCTACCTTCCATCAATGGAGTTGCCGGAAATCCAACACCTACTGCAGCTATGTTATGTGTCGTCAAGGTTCGTACAACTGCGCTATTAATTGAAATAACAATTATAATTTCAATTTTCGACTCATTTTATCGTTCTACTCATTATTTTCAATACATACCCTATTTTAGAAAACAGGTAAACTAGCATAGGTACAACAGGTGAATCTTCATTTCCATAAATGATAACTCCAATTTGATTAAGTCTGCGTCTGAAATACCTAGTGTTTCTCGCCAACTGTTTCGTTCTCCTTTTCCCCTCGTCTGTACCGTCTTCTCCGGCAATTATTTTCATTGAAGTTATGATTTGTTGTGCTATCGGTGGAGACATAGCAGCCGCGTAAGTATGTGCATGACTGTATATCCGTAAATGATTTATTAATGTCTAAAATTATAAAATTATTATTATTACCATTACCTTTCAATATCAAGAGAAAGTATTATATTTTTAACCATAACAATACAAATTTCTTGCCTTTGTTCCAGCAATATAGCCACCAGCAGATCCAAAACTCTTCGTAAAAGTTCCCATAAGTATGTCTATTTCTCGCGGATCAATTTTATAATAATCACAAACACCTCTTCCATTTTTGCCTAATGCACCAGTGCTATGAGCTTCATCCAAATAAAGATATGCCTATTGTTTTAAATTAATAACTTTAATATTTTGGGCATATTAAAATAGAATTGATTAAGTGCAAATAAATATACATACTTTGTATTTCTTTTTGAGTTGCAAAATCTCAGGTAAATGTACAATAGAACCTTCCATAGAGTAAACACCTTCCACTACAATCAATATCTTCTTCCAGGGTTCTCCAGATCCAGTTTGGCCGAAAACTATCGCAGTTTTTAAACATTTTTCTAAATGCTTCATGTCTATAACAATAAAATTCGATATTTAGGATACATAATAAATTCTATGGAATTTCATTTAGTTCACTAGTTTAAATGCTTACTGTTGTGTTTAAACACCTTAACGGTAGCACCAGACAGTCTTAATCCGAGTATTAATGAAGCATGATTTTTTTCATCGCTTACTACCAAACAACCCTTGCTTAGCAATGACGGCAAATTCAGAGCATTTGTTGCAAATCCCATTCCAAAAACAATAGCATCCTCTACACCCAGAAATCTAGCCGTCAGTTGTTCCAATTCCTTGTGAATCGGCATATTTCCTAAATAAGAAAAGAAAAACTTAAGAAAATTCAATATTATTTATTATAAAATAAAATGAAATAAACATAACTGATGGAATGAAGAAAAAATTAATTACCGAGTTCAAGGCGAGGACTGCAACTAGCACAACCGAATTTTTTTAAAGTTTCGATACTTTGATCGGCACATTTACCATTTGCTTCTGCGAAACCCAAGTAATTGTAGGATCCTAAATTTATACATTCCGATGTCGTTCTTGTGAACCTATAAAACAAAATGATAAAGAAAAAATTGTAATTTCACCATATATTCGGAACGCTATCATTTTTATATATAACTATATTTTATTTAATTTAATTTTCATTCTTTTTTTTATCTCATTCGTATATTATTTCTTGGCATGATAATGAACAAATTAGATGCGAACTTGTAGATACAAATTTGAAAATTGCGGATTCAAATTTGTAGAGGAAAACTGGAAAAAAATTTTAAATGTAAATGTTTCTGAGTGTTAAATGAGGGTAATAGAAGCGATAGAGCTGATCGAAATTCATTGAATTTGATTTCCAAGTTATAAATCTGTTTTCTCGCTCACTGGTCGTCAAATCTCCTTGAGTTCTTCATTACATTTAATCAAGACAAATGTCTGCCTTCCTGTATCTCCAATCGAGTTGTTACAATTTTTGAATCTGTGCATTTCACATTGATATTACCTTAAATTCATTTTGAAACTGAACGAGAATTGTATCAAAACTATTTAAACTTATGTGTAATAAAAAGAAGGTTGTCATAAATTAAATTGCTTTCTGATAGACGAAAAAATTTGTTCTAAAACAAATTATAGATAAGTGAGAGATAAAGATATAGTTGATTAGTCATCCATTAGAAATGATATTTTACCTAATCTTTCGATTTGATTAAGATTCGTCATATAGCATTGCATTGATAAAATTTATTTTTAGATTGCTTTTTTAACTTACTGAAACGTCCATCCATAATCTTTCGTTATTCTATCCTTAAGGGTAACTGTGGCACCTGGAACAGAGCATATTGGCCTGTTCCAACAATCCCTCACTCTTCTATAAACATACCGAAGGTAAAACTCTTCGAAACTTTCGTACAGTGGCGCATAACCCTGAAGCAGACAAAATTTGAATTTCTGATCATATCAGTCAGGAAAGGAATAACTTTGGATCGTGTCGTGTTACATTTTACGCAATGATAAACGTTAATTCAACGGAAAGATTAATTAAAAAGAATGCAAATTCTAAATAACAGAAAATGAGTTCTACGAAATATCGTTAAAAGATTATTGCACTTTTTGCATAACAATCTACTCTTAACTACTATTAGATTGTATTACATTTCCTTATAACTATTTATGATAGAATCATGAAACAATTATTTACAAACAAAAAGGCTTAGCTTTATTTTTTCTTTTTTTTTTTTGTAAGATTTATGTATTACATTTATAGTAAATATTATATACAGTTAGACAACAGATCATCGGTCAGACCGCTATATAGCATGCTATATATGGTTACATAGCAGTCGTATCACTATTCTCACAAGTATGTAGTATACTAGAGCATCTACTGGACGTCTGAAAGTAAACGATACAATTGTAAAATATAAGGTTTACACAGACTTATATATGTTTTTACAAATATACCTTTGTAAAAAAGTCTACATTTTAAACGTTTTGAATAACGTATCTTGAGTTACTTTTCTTTAATATCCTATAAAATCGTCATTTTAACAGATTTATGGCCTTCAAATTTTTTGAATTCCGTTATAAATAAAAATAAGAGAAAAAATAAGAGATAAAAAATATGACTTCTTTTAAAAGGCGCGAGTTTTTTAACAAATTATTCCTTGTTTTTATTAGTATATACAATAGTTAATACAAGGATACTTTTTATTAGATTCATATCTTTCAACTCTACGTACGCATACTTATCGCTAAGGTCATGATTAGATATCAAATGTTCATTTCATTTCCGACCTCTTCCGTCTTAACTAAAAGATTACGTAGCATTTGTCAATATAAATAAATTTGTCAATATACCGTAAAAGATTGCAAATAAATTACTATTATATTATCAAAATTGAAACAATATCCAATAATCTGTATATTTTTTTAGAAACTCATTATCGCAATTAACGTTTTCTTTCCTGGTGTGCAGTTTTCAATCAGTCGTTCTTCGCAGTAACAATAACGTTGCAATGCAGTTAGTCTATAATATACTTTTATCGGCTTCTGCTTGATTTTGGAGAAAACAAGGTCATATTCAATGTCGATCTCTTTTATTTTATAAAAGTAAAATAAATATTATGATTAAAAATTACGTACGAAAAAGGTAAAGTAGAATGAAATATCAAATAGTTGTGTATTCAACCATTGAAAGAAACTTCGAATGCAAAAGTTTAATAGTTACTCATTGTTTTACATTGCGATCAATCGAATTTCTCTTTCTCATAGACAATCGTAATTGAACTCGAACGGAATCGATTCGACTTTTCTTTCAATGCTACTCCCTATTCCAGTTATTTTCTCTTTTGACTCAATTACATATTACTTTGTCACTCTTCATTCCATCCATTAGTTATGTATGGTTAATTGTTTCAAGTTTTCTTACATTATTATTATCCATTAATTTCATCTCTTGATCTGGGACAAAAATGTAAAGAAATTATTATCACGAATAAGGTAATTAGTTATCTTTAATTAGTACTATTGCTAAACAAAATTCACACAGGAGGTGCAAAATAAAACAGAAATTTTTTCCAAGAAAGAATTGTAAAAATTATGAAACACAAAATTCATTTAAAAATTCAAGGAGTTTGCTAAATTCAAAATTGTGGATGGATGAATCTAGAGAATTTTAAAGTCAGCCTCAGCAACTAATGTAATTTTGATTTTTATTACAATTTTGTTATTGTTATCTTACCTCTCTATTATACTCTTGTGCAACTTTAGGGGTGAAAAACAATTGATTTATAAAACCCAGGAACATAAGAATGCAGAACCCTAGATGGGTCAACACTGCAGTGATGAACGGTATCCTCTCGAACGACTCTTTTGACCTTGATTTCACCGGTTCGGTTTCCGCTTTTTTCTCTGGAAACTGAATATAGTTTTGCACGTATTTATATATATAAATAATATATATAAATAATATATATAAATATATAATATTTATATATATAAATAAAATTTGTAACAATCGTATTCGCTAAAGAAAATATTTTATTTTGCAAACCGCAGAATGCATGTTGTATACCTATGCGTTTATCAGCAGCGAATGATTTCACGTTATGTAAAATTCTTTTAAAAACAGCATGAAAGACCAAAGGCAGGAGGCTCAAATGAGCCTTAAGCAATATATAGTTATTACAGATAAGCTCATCGCAGTAGATAAGTTGATTTCCTACAAAGTTATATCTGATAACATTATTCTTAGAAACATAAGAACTTCAACAAAAGCAAAAAAAAGTTGAAATTTTATAATTTAAACAGACTTTGTAGTAAATATAATTACATTGAAGAATTGTATAATGATTAATAATAATACGATAGTGTGATCCTTTTTGCATAAAAAAGTCTTTTAAAGTTAAAAATATAATCAATGGTCTTATATTAATTTACAGAAAATAAAATAAAGTGTACTCAATATGAAATCACGTGTGCTGACATTAAAACATAAAATAATATTTAAAAAATTACGTTAAACTTGAAAATAACGATTCGATTTTAAGAAATTAATATTTGAAATGATCAGAACAGTAATTGATCAAATATATCAATGTACATTCTTTCCTTTTTAACTATATCGATTATCATTAATTCTTTGACAATGATACCTTATTAAACGTTCACATTTTAAGGTTAGTTTTAAGGAAATTTGGCAAACCGATAAAACATGTGATGAAAACTCAATGCTTGTATCTTTTCTTCTGTCATTCCTTTACGACAAACTAGGTGGGTTTTACTTTTTTACCCTAAAATATTTATAATCCTAACGATAATAGTTTATGATATATAGTTATTAAAAGTAACTCGTTTCATTTTGAATAAATAGTTTTCTTAATAATTGAAAATCAAAGTTAATTATTTCATTTTGTATATCGTGATTTTTAGCAAACATAAGGTTAGAAATGGGTAAATCACAAATAATAAAAATGGAGATGATAAATAAAATAATCACGTGAGAGATGCGAATAAAAAAAATTTGACAGATTATTAAAATAGTAAAACTGTAAAGTCATCATAACATAATTTTAATACTTATTATTTTATGTTTATATATTGTGTCTAATGTTTACATCTATTGAATTGAAAGTAAAAATAATTAAAATTGCTATATTCGATTAAATAAATTTAATTTCCGACTTACTTACTAAACGAAAAATGTAAAATAATTTATACATTTACTATAATTTATTATAATTGAAGGTCACTGGTTAAAAGAAACAAGATAAATTGAGCAACGAAATAACCAGTATTCAACAAATTAATGGTAAGGCGTAATAATTTTTTATCACACTGTCATAAGTCATAAGAACGATTAAAAATGAACTTGATTTGTTTTTTTCTTAATTGATTTAATTCTTGCGTTCGTTATTATTATAATTATACTCCTGAAATACTTTATGAGAATATTCGAGAATAAATAACTGTTATATAAAAGCATCGTATTAATATTTAAGTACATAAACAAATAGAACATTTTTTCAATTAAAAGAAAAATTAATTAATGTATATTTAAAAATATTGGTAATTTCAAATACAGTACAATATTAATATCGTACGAAAAGAAGGATTATTTTAAATTGCAATTTCTTGACTTGAAAGTTATTCGATATATTTTGCAAATAACTAAAATATAATTAGATATGTTTCGATCGATGATACAGTAAATCTTAAGCATGACTTTTGCATACTTTTTCATTAATTTTATAGTAATGTTCAGTTGACAAATTTTGGTCCGTAGTATTAATATAAAGTTGATTTATATCGCACAACAAAATAAAATGATTAAAAATGAGCATGTTCCAATGAAATACGCAAAAGTCAATTACTACATACATTGTACTAATTTTCAAATGAATATCAACTGTCGGATAGTCTTTTTGATAAACCGAACTTGGAAATACCTAATTTTAATACGCGTGACAGGTGACGATCTAACCTGTACACGTCCATTGCTTTGTAAACCAGCATGGCCATTGGCTAGGATGTCTTCGTAAAAGGCTAAACCGTTTCTGCTTATTTTCTCCTCGTGTTCATTCAGTCTTCTCCCGATGATAGCCTGTGTCGCCATTTTGCAAAGGGCGAATCTTTCACTGAGCGCCGTAGGACCGAAGAGAGGAGAAAGAGAGGAAAAGAGAGAGAAAGAGGAAGAAAGAGAGAGTAAACACGTCAACACTATACGGAGAACAAGTAAAGACTAACGCACAAGCCACGCGTCGCGATACTAGCCACGCATGCGCCCGGCTCTGCTGACTCTATGACCGCGATTTACGGAGAAACACGGGGATAACGCAGGGATAAACGGATACGCGCATGCGCAACTAGGATGAACTAGTATGATTACTTCTAGGATTAGTGCAGTTTAGAATCAGAATAGCAATAAATTAAACTAATGTGTATGTAGATTAAAATTAGCTTATTGTTTTATAGCTGCCAAATATAAACGATGTAAGACAACATATTTTTTTATGTCACTAACTTATAATTAAAGGTTACGTTAAAACGATGCATCTAACGTCTACTTTAAATTTCGTGCACAATTTCAATGCAGTTAGAAAAATTATTAAAACGAAAGTATAAATTTTATTGTAATATTATTGAAAACAATTATTGGTTTTTTATCTTATTTAAAACTCGAATAACAAATAATAATTGCTTTACTTTCAATAAAACAGAAATATCTTTACTAAAATATTCACATAATTCATCAGATCAGTATATATTTATTTTTTAAATTTTGTTAAAGGTAATCGTTGTACAATCGAAGTTTTAACGCAGCATGCCGGCTGTGCACATGCGCATTAGCGCATCACGTATACTTCGTATATGTGTATATACGATTAAACCCGCAACAACTTATAGATAGTAAATGAAATATCTGTACACGAGTAGGTCGATTATTATATTTGTTTCACAAATATTGTTATCATTTTACAACAATAGTTTAAAAAATGTGGTATATTTTAATAATACTGAAATTTTCTTATTAATAAGAGTGACGTTTGCTCATTCTGATATTGTTACCTACAAATTTTGAGATTATCTTTAATGTACTACGTAAAAACTACGTATTTTAACAAACACGAGTGTTTATACGTTTTATCATATCATTCAATACGGAAAATACTTGAAATTATAAAGTGCCCCGCCCATTATATCAGAATTATTCTTCAAATTATTGATTACTTGATAAAAGACAAAAATGCAACATATAAAAGTACACTTCAACTAAATTATTGAAATCCTAAATTTTTTAATGAAACGTTTTTAACGATCTAATTCACATACAAACTCAAATGGAAAAAATATAATTTTAAGAAATACATTTTCCATTATTTTAACAATCATTGTTTTATAACATTTTTTATCATTACATTGTAATAATATTTTATTCGTTAATAATATTTAACAAGTATGACACATCCAAGAGTATCATACGCGCCTCGTCTTTCCATTGTGACTCATTGTCCTGAACTGTGAGCCCCTCCAGTTTCCTCTTGGCAACTGAGTGGTGGGGAAAACAAGCTCGATTCTGATTGGTTTACTAGGGACGAACAATACTGACTAGATCCCCGTGTTAATTTCTTGTGTAGATTATTAATATATACAATCTTCTTTTTTTTCAAATTCAATGGAAATAAATAACATGAAATATATTATATATTAAAGGATACTATACTCTTCCAATTCGTAATTATGACAAATTATTTAGTATATTTAATTTTAATTTTGAAAATTATAAATTGAAAAATTACAATATATATACAAGCAAGTATAAAATTTCAAAAAATTGATATCCATTGCGTTTATTAAACTCGCACCCAATATATATACATCCCTACTATAGCGGGAACGGTGGGGAGGAAACCCTCTTACGCACACCCTGTGAGATGCTCTGTCGGAGAACATGTTTCAGAATCGAATCCACTCGTGGAAGAGTGAACGTTAAACCAGTTTTTCGTTTCTAACGTCTATTGCTTATTGTTAATGTTTGAATAAATTATTGTGTATCGCTTAATAGTAGAAAATCATAACAAATAAAGTTGTTAAACTTTCCAATTTTAGAAAAATCGAAATAGTGAAATTATATTAAAAAAAGTGACCAAAACGGAGTGAAACGTCAACATTATAATTGCAAGCAACGATTGTTAACAACTGTTTTAATTATTAAAAGTTTAAAAAGTCTCAAAGGATCTTAACAACAAGTATTATCTGAAAATTACGAAGAAAACTAACAAAGGAATATTGCAAGTGTTCTAAAAGAAAAGTTGAATTCTATGACAGGATAACACTCCTCGCGTGCAGCAAAGATGGCCGAGTTGAAGGAGCAACCAATCAGAAGGGAGCACGATTCGATGGACGATTTTGAGCATCTCGAGCATGTCCAGGATGGACAATTAAGTCACCTGGAAGCTAATACTGAGAAAGTAGAAGAAAATCCGAAGCATAATTTTGATATGGAACAGGATATGATTAATTTCTCTTCTAATCAATCTTCAAACGAACCAGAAGATCCAAAAAAATCTACAATGTTACTGTTAGAGTCGGAGAAAGGAAGACCGGCTGAGGAAAGTAATTTTGAGGTTAGACCGAAGGAACTGGAATCTGACTTGTTATCAGGTAAAATAGGGGATCAGTCAGAGGTTATGGAAAGCGATCTGGTCAATAAAAAGAACGAAGAAAAGCAAGACGTTGCAGAAAAGGAAGAAGTTAAAGAAACCAAAATTCCAGATCGCGAACCTGAAATCGTTCTCTCCACTGATAACAAAATAGATAATTCATGGAATATTATCGAGAAATCTCCATCTGTTTCGGAGTCAATTTCGAAACCAGAAACAAAAGAAGAAAGTGTAAGTGAATATGTGCTTGCCGATATAGAGAAAAAAGAACGGATCAGTGCACCGGAAACCGGAGAATCCGAATTTGAATCAGAAATTGAAACATCACCAGCGAAAAGTTTAAAATCTGTAAAGCAAGAAGTGAGAAGAGAACCAGTAGAGGAAGTAGAAATTGCATGTAGATCGTTTTGCACCATGGGAATCGGTAAGTACATCTGTTTTGTAACTAATAATCAAATCAAATCTTCACGAAAATATGATAATACAGTTATTACATGATATGTATTAATATGAATGAAGTATATAACTGTACCAATAAGGTTAGAAAAAAAATATTGTTGTATAGTATGTATACATATATGTATAACAATGGGAAAACATTTTGTTGTTAATGTTTTTAAGACGACGTTTTCATTAACAATCTCTAAAATCTTGAAAGCATAAACGATTAGTACGAAACGTTAATTAATTTAGCATCTTTGCACGAAGTGAACCACGCTTCCGCTTGACTACAACGTCATTGCTTTTTTGAGCCGTAATGATGTGGTTAGTTATTCTAGACACATCATATTCATTTTTAAAATAACTTTAGTCTATCAGCTTAGTGAAAAATTGATTTGCAAAAACTACCTCAAATTCAATTTTTAATTGTCACTATATTTTTCCAATTTCGGAATATACTTGTCAAACCAATGCAAAATGAAAAAATTTATACAAGAAACGATATTTTATGTCATATTTTACGAGGTTACTAAGAATTAATTGGTAACGATTATTAGTAAGATGAAACATATTTTTTATGCATAATTGTAGCTATTAACAGAATCTCTTATCGTCTATAATTATGCCATTCGTAGACAAATCTAAACCATTGATGCTTCATATATTATCAATATAGCAGAAGTTATTGCTCCCTGAGATAGTAACGTCCTTATACTGTTATTTATGTAGATCTGTATGTAAAGTAACGGTAACCGATGATAATGCGGTTGAATTTTTATTTATCTTACATATTCATAGTTCTCGAGTCGATATTTTATTATAGATATCTGAATAGGTTAATGCCATTCCATATTTTACAGTTTTAATTTTTAACACGATGTTTAATTTTTATACGGTATCAATTATATGAGTTAAATTTTTTTATATAAAATGTCAATAACCATTAACGAATTATTGATTCTTTAATATGTGTAGGTTTATAAAAGTATATATGTAATATTGATTAACTATATATTGGCGATGATGCACGTAAATTGATATTTCGATGACATAATACTTTTGGTCTTTTTCATATAATTATAGATCCGTATTGAATTTTTATTCAAAACCGAAATAATTAAATGCTACCGTTTTTAATAAAATAATATTTTCGTGTAAAAACATTTTGTTGATGTCTGTAGAGAATAGAAGTTGGATAGGATTACAACATGTTGCACCATGCAAAAGGAGACGTGTACATTTTGCGTATATGGTTTCTACGGTGAGCCGAAGTAACCCGTATCTTCTCTCCATATTGATCCGCAGCAGGGATACCTTACGACCTCTTTTGATTGAACCAATGGGAACAGCAGCCCATGGGAAAATATTTTGCGACAAAAATATGTTTTACAAGCTGAATTGCAAATGATAGATAATATATTCAACACTAATCTATATAAATTTGAATGAGTAATATCGGTGTATTAATTAAAAATCGTTTGATAACCAGTTTTTCGTCGAAGTTGTGTTCTTCGTGAAGATATTTTTACACATGATCTCAGAAAGAAAAATTTCATGTGAGTCATGAATTATTTTCGATCGCTATATATTATTATGACACGTCTTTCTTGTCAACTGTTTGAAAATACTTGAAACGAAATAATAATTTGACTGCTGTGTGACCTTCGATAGTCACTATAAATACTTTACAAGTTTAAACTATGGGAATTAGTTTATCCAGTGGCAACCATAATCTAAAAATAAAACGAAATTGATTAAATATAAGAAATATTGAGTTTTAATTCTTTTACTTCGTATAAATCGATACAAAATGTCAATTTAATCGAAGTTTTCATGTAATAATTTATCTGACACACCTGTTTCTACTCGAATGAATTGTCTAGTTATATTTTGAATTCTGCGACATCTATCGTCTTTTGCTGGAACACGCTAGACATTGTCGCCGTCGATCGCGCCATCTCTTGTTAACGAAGGTAACTAGTTGTTCCTTACCCGAAGCCTTATCGTTCCCCGGCGCGGAGCAATGGCGCGTCGGAGTGGTGGGGATATCTGGAACTGTCCACGGGTCGATAATACTCGTCAGTCCTGTTCTCGCCTCGAAGCATAGTGTGTCGTCCAGGAGTCGTAATATCGAAATTACACGAAGTTCTTTTCCCCCTCCCCCGGTAGTCTTGTTTGAAATTTATTCGTGCAGCGAAAGTAGACAAAACAAATCAAAAGCATTCTTTCGAATATTTACAGCGAATAAAATCAGTGAAAAAGGATAAAAGGGTGAAAAATACGTAAAGTAAGAAGGAACTAGCATTGAAAAGTGCGTCGTTTGCGACCATTATCTCGGATTATTGGGGTAGTGTTCGAATGCGATTCATCCTTGGTTCCATTGAGACGCAAAGTTAGGGAAAAATGAGAATGGAGCCGGCATGTCCTATGTCTCCTGGAAAAGAGAAAGAAGATGCTGATGCGGTTTGCAAGGAATCATGTGCCGTAGCTAATAGCAATTCTTGCTTCTGGAATATTCTCCATCCGTGTATGTTAATTTCTTATTTTTTCCTTTTATCTAATGTAGGGTACGAAGTACATGTAAAGTGTTAAAAGTAACGTGGGACAGGTAGCGCACTGGTTTAGTGTAGGG